TGGGGGGTTCGGGGATGCTGTGGGGCTCTGGAGACTGTGGGGTTTGGGGGGCTCAGTGAGGCTGGGGGCTCTGGGGGGGCCTGTGGGCTCTGGGGGCTGCAGGAGCTCAGCCCAGCCCCTCGCTGGGACAGCCCGGGGGGCTCAGCCCTGGTGTGGGGCGCTGGGCACACGTGGCACAGGCTCCCCTGGCGCTGCCAAGGAGCCCGGCTGGGCAGGAGGGACTTGGCACGCTCCTGTGTCCCCTCGTGTGCCATCCTGCCAGGACAGGGACACACACCCTGCACGGCCCCATCCGTGCCACGCTGCCAGCCCCACTGCCAGCCCTCTCTGCTGCCCTGGCCGAGCCTGGCACCCCTGCCTGGCCAGGACTGGCACCCCAGCTCACTGAACCCTCAGACCACACCAGGGAGGGGCAGGGGACAGGGCCAGCAGGTGTGGGACCCTGTCCCCTCCCCGGAGCCCTCTGCCCCCCTGCCAGGCTGCCTGCCAAGGAGCCCTGGCACAAGCTCTGCCTTTCCCCTGCCCCAGGAGCCTGCCCTGCACGGCCGTGCCCTGCCTGCTGCCCGGGACACAGGCTGGCACTGGGGACACTCCCGAGGGGCACAGCAGGGGTGGCACTGGGGACTGCTGTGCCCACCCCAGCCCGGGGAAGGTGCCCCTGTCACCCGAGGCACCACACACAGAGCCACCCTGCTGAGGGGTGTCCCTCTGCCAGGTGCAGCTGGCACTGGGGACGCTGGCACTGGGGCCATGGCATGGCACGGCACGGCTCAGCAAGGCTCAGCATGGCTCAGTATGGCACAGCATGGCATGGGGCACCGCAGAACAGCCTGGCACAGCCTGGTACAGCCTGGTACAGCATGGCACAGCATGGCTCAGTATGGCACAGCATGGCAGGGGGCACCACAGAACAGCCTGGTACAGCCCGGCACAGCTTGGCATAGCATGGCACAGCCTGGCACAGCATGGCATGGGGCACCACAGAACAGCCTGGTACAGCCTGGCACAGCTTGGCATAGCATGGCACAGCATGGCTCAGCATGCACGGTGCACCACAGGACAGCCTGGCACAGCCTGGCACAGCTCACCCACACCGTGACACCTGTGACACAGGGCTGTGCCAGCCAGCCCCCTGCCCCTGCCCTGCCAGCCCCACCTCTGGCACCCTGTGCCCCTCACCGCTGACAGGGCAAGGTCCCTCTGCCCACCTGCTGCCAGCCCTCTCTGCTGCCCTGGCCGAGCCTGGCACCCCTGCCTGGCCAGGACTGGCACCCCAGCTCACTGAACCCTCAGACCACACCAGGGAGGGGCAGGGGACAGGGCCAGCGGGTGTGGGACCCTGTCCCCTCCCCGGAGCCCTCTGCCCCCCTGCCAGGCTGCCTGCCAAGGAGCCCTGGCACAAGCTCTGCCTTTCCCCTGCCCCAGGAGCCTGCCCTGCACGGCCGTGCCCTGCCTGCTGCCCGGGACACAGGCTGGCACTGGGGACACTCCCGAGGGGCACAGCAGGGGTGGCACTGGGGACTGCTGTGCCCACCCCAGCCCGGGGAAGGTGCCCCTGTCACCCGAGGCACCACACACAGAGCCACCCTGCTGAGGGGTGTCCCTCTGCCAGGTGCAGCTGGCACTGGGGACGCTGGCACTGGGGCCATGGCATGGCACGGCACGGCTCAGCAAGGCTCAGCATGGCACAGCATGGCTCAGTATGGCACAGCATGGCAGGGGGCACCACAGAACAGCCTGGTACAGCCTGGCACAGCCCGGCACAGCCTGGCACAGCCTGGCACAGCCTGGCTCAGCCTGGCTCAGCATGGCATGGGGCACCACAGGACAGCCTGGTAAGCCTGGCACAGCTTGGCATAGCATGGCACAGCATGGCTCAGAATGCACGGTGCACCACAGGACAGCCTGGCACAGCCTGGCACAGCTCACCCACACCGTGACACCTGTGACACAGGGCTGTGCCAGCCAGCCCCCTGCCCCTGCCCTGCCAGCCCCACCTCTGGCACCCTGTGCCCCTCACCGCTGACAGGGCAAGGTCCCTCTGCCCACCTGGGCACGGATGCTGGGGACCCCCAGCTGGCACCCACAGGACACCCTGGTGCCCACGGCTGCTGGGGACCCCCAGCTGGCACCCACAGGGCCAGCCTGGCGCCCAGGGCGTGTGCCAGCTCCCCCAGCCTGCCCCGTGCCCCTGGCACAGCGGGCTCTCCTCAGGGAGGGCACTGTTAGTCACGGCTGCAGGGGCTTCCCTGGCAGTGCCTGGGGCTGGCCGTGCCAGCTCTGCTCCCCTGGCACTGGGAGCTGCCGGCCAAAGGGCCAGCTCTGGCACCAGCCTGGCACCAGCACAGTGACACTGCCCTGGCACAGTGACACTGCCCCAGCTGTGCTGTGCCCCTGGCACTGGCAGGGCAGGGACAGGGACAGGGACAGGGACAGGGACAGGGACAGGGACAGGGACAGGGACAGGGACAGGGACAGGCATGGCAAGGATCAGGGACAGGGACAGGGACAGGGGCAGGGACAGGGACAGGCAGCTGGACCCGAACTGTGCCAGCACAGGGTGACCCCTTCCGGCTGGCAGAAACTCTCCCAAAAGCATTTGCAGCCCTCCGAGGGCGGAGGTGCCCCTGCCCTGCCCGTCCCCAGGCCCTGCCCACCCTGGGCCTGTTTGTCACCCCGCTGTCCCCTCCTGTGGGAATGGGGACACCGTGTGAGCCCCTTCCTGGGGGCCTGCAGTGCCAGAGGAACCCGTGACACTGCTCCTGCACCCACGCCGTGCTGCCAGCCACGTGCCACCTGGCCACCCTGCAGGGAGGTGGCTCCCCAGTGCCACTGGCACACACCAGGGCCTGGAAGGGACGAGCCACAAGTGTGCTCAGCTGCCACCCGTGACTGCCAGCTGCCCCAGCGGGCACGGTGCCCGTGGCCCGGCGAGGGCTGGGTGGGCATCACCCGTGGGCAGCAGCTGGGGGGCCCTCAGAGGCTCGGGGGCTCTGCTGCCCAGGCCCAGCAGCCCCAGGGTGGGGAGCAGGGTCAGAGCCCCCGGGCAGGGAGGGAATGCACGGCAGGGCAGGAGGTGCCACCGGGCACAGGAGGCTGGCGGAGGGCCAGGAGGGAGGGACAGCCCCCTCTGCCTCAGCACCCTGGCACGCGGGGCAGCCAGGCCAGCAGCTGAGGATTGTCACCAGTGCGGCCACAGGGCAGGACAGCCCCCGGGGACACCCTCTGCCACCCAGCTGGTGCCCGCTGGCTCACCTGGGCATGCTTGCGCTTCCGCCCGGGCCGCCCCGCTTTCCTCATGGGCGTCCCCGGCTCCTGCTTCTCCTCCTTGCTCGGGTTCTCCTCGGGCTCCTCTTCCCCCTGCCAGACACAGAGAGGAGCTTATGCCACCGGGCAGCCTGGCCTGGGCGGGCTGGGCACAGCTCTGCTCCTGGGCTGGGCACAGCTCTGCTCCTGGGCTGGGCACAGCTCTGCTCCTGGGCTGGGCACAGCTCTGCTCCTGGGCTGGGCACAGCTCTGCTCCTGGGCTGGGCACAGCTCTGCTCCTGGGCAGCCTGGCCTGGGCACGGCTCTGCTCCTGAGCTGGGCACAGCTCTGCTCCCGGGCTGGGCACGGCTCTGCTCCCGGGCTGGGCACAGCTCTGCTCCTGGGCTGGGCACAGCTCTGCTCCCGGGCTGGGCACGGCTCTGCTCCCAGCCAGCCTGAGCTGGGCACGGCTCTGCTCCACCACAGGGTGACGGGCGCCTGCCCGGCCAGCTGGCTCCATTGTGGCACCACCAGGCCAGCAGCACCAGGAAGGGTGGCAGTGGCTCCTGCCACGCTTGGGCCGTGGCACAGGCGTGGCCCGGAGCCTCAGCGGGTGACCCTCCTGCCCTGTGCCACCGTGCCACTGCTGCCACCCACCAAACCCTGCCCCAAGGAGCGCAGCGGGGCCCTGTGGGCACCTCCCAGCAGCCATGGGGCTCCCTGGGCACGAGGGCCAGCAGTGGGAGCTGGGCACCCCTGGGGCGGGCAGCCAGCTGCTTTGGGGACCCCGCCGTGCCCCCCAGCAGCTGGCAGCATGCGTGTGCCAGCATGGTGGGCAGCAGGAGCGCGGCCCCGGGAGATGAACGTGCCCCCGTGGCACGTGCCCCCATGGACCCCGCCGTGCCCCCCAGCAGCTGGCAGCATGCGTGTGCCAGCATGGTGGGCAGCAGGAGCGCGGCCCCGGGAGATGAACGTGCCCCGTGGCGGGCCCTGGCCCCGCGCCGGGCACCGGGGGCACACGGCGGGCAGGGCACGGCCCTGGCACGGCGCGGGGCGGGTCTCACCTGAGCCCCGAAGATCCCGGCGGCGGCGGCCGAGCAGGAAGAGGCCGCGGAGGGGGAGCGGGGAGGAGGAGAGGCCGGTGGGGGGCTGGCGAGGGAGAGGCCGGGGAGGGGATGGGGCTGGCAGCCAGACAGCGCCGCAGGCAGCGCAGCCCTGCAGCCCCGCAGCTGCACTGCTGCATTCCTGCCTGCGCCCCGAGCGGGCACCGCGCCAGCGGCGTGCAGCTGGAGCACCCCTGGGTGCAGCAGCCGGACCCACGGCACCGGGACACACGGTGCCCACGGCTCTGTGCCCATGGTGCCCCATGGCTCTGTGCCCATGGCTCTGGTGCCCCACTGCCATGGTGGCCCAGCCACAGTCCCCAAACCAGCTGCCCTGTGCCACCCTCCCTGACCCAGCTGCATGCCCGGTGCCCATTGCGCCCAGCCACAGTCCCCAAACCAGCTGCCCTGTGCCACCCTCCCTGACCCAGCTGCACGCCCCGTGCCCGCTGCAGCCTTGGTGCCCTGCCTGCCCTTGGTGCCTGTGGGTGCACGGGTGCCAGCACAGGTCTGTCCCCAAGGTGTCCCTCCAGAACTGTGCTTGTCCCAGCCCTGCTCGCCTGCCTGTGGGGCCGGGCAGCCTCCAGCCCCTGCAAGGACCCCCCAGCCCTGCAAGGACCCCCCAGCCCTGCACAGACCCCCCAGCCCCGTGTGGGGACCCCCAGCCCTGGCACCCGCTGGCACTGCCAGCTCTGAATGAGGACAGGGGACAGCACAGCACGCAGGGGCTCTGCCAGGCAGGGCCCCACTCCCACGGCATCCCCTGGAAAGTTCTGGGACAGGTCCAAGGGCGATGGCAGGAGCCCAGACCCAGCAGTCCTGGGGGTCCCTGCCCCACAGGCCCCCTGGGCCCAGGACAGCACCCAGGGGTGCAGGGCAGCACCCAGGGGTGCAGGCCAGCCCCAGGGCGACCCTGGCACCTGTCCCTTTGGCCCTGGCTGGTGCTGGCACTGCCCCAGGCCTGGCAGCATTTAGGGGATGCACATGGAAGATTTGGGGGTGTCGTGCACCAGGTGTAGCCAGGCCTCCCCTGGCGGGAGGGGAGCAGCTGGGGGGCACCCGCTGGTCCCAGAGGGGCACGGGGGGCTCCGGGGGGAGCAGCTGGAGGGGCCCGAGGGCTGCCAGGGAGGGGGGACAGCAGGGTCCCTGCTGTGGAGCCAGGGAGGTGCCCCCAGGAGCCCTCAGGGGGGCACAGCCCGCGCCCCAAAAGCGGGGCAGGGGTGGGGGCACAGCCTGGGCAGCAGCAGGGCTGGCAGGGGGCTCGGGGGGCTGTGTCCCCCCAGCCTGGCACGGCCGGGGCCGCAGCCCCTCACTGCCATCGGCCATGGCTGCCCCGTGCCCTCCGAGCGTGGGGAGCCCCGCACGGCCCGGGGCCGCTCCTGCCCCGCTGCCAGGCAACGGCCCGGGGGAACGGCGGCGGAGCTGCGGCGTGACGCAGTGCTGGCTGCGCTGCCAGCCCGCCCCGGGCACTGCCACACCACTCTGGGCAGTGCCAGCCCTGCTCCAGGCACAGCCAGCCCTGATCCGGGCACTGCCAGCACAGCCCCAGGCACTGCCACCCTGTTCTGGGCACTGCCAGCCCTGCCATGGGCACTGCCAGCCCTGCTCTGGGCACTGCCAGCCTGCTCCAGGCACGGCCACCCTGCTCTGGGCACTGCCACCCTGCTCCAGGCACTGCCAGCTCAGTCCCGGGCACTGCCAGCTCAGTTCCGGGCACTTCCAGCCCTGCCTGGGGCACTGCCAGCTCAGCCCTGGGCACTGCTAGTCCAGCTCTGGGCACCACCACCCTGTTCCGGGCACTGCCAGCCCAGCTCCGGGCACTGCCAGCACAGCCCCGGGCACTGCCACCCTGCTCTGGGTACTGCCACCCTGCTCTGAGCACTGCCAGCCCAGCTCCGGGCACTGCCACCCTGCTCTGGGCACTGCCACCCTGCTCTGAGCACTGCCAGCACAGCCCCGGGCACTGCCACCCTGCTCTGGGCACAGTCAGCACAGCTCCAGGCACTGCCACCCTGTTCTGGGCACTGCCAGCACAGCCCCGGGCACTGCCAGCACAGCCCGGGCACTGCCAGCACAGCCCCGGGCACTGCCACCCTGCTCTGGGCACTGCCAGCACAGCCCTGGGCACTGCCACCCTGCTCGGGGCACTGCCAGCTCAGCCTGGCCCGTGGCCCCGGGGGTCCCGGCTGCAGAGCCCTGCCCCGGCTGGGAACGGGCTCGGCCCCGCCGGGAGCCACCGGCACCTGCCCGACCCGCCACACGGTGCCCTCGGCACAGTGACCTGGGCACGGCGCCCTCGGCAGGGTCACCTCGGCTCGGTGCCCTCGGCGTGTGGCCGCGGGGGAGGCGACGCCGCATCCCGCGGGGTCAGCCCGGGACAGCGCAGGAACCGCTGCCAGCCCTGGGCACTGCCCCGGCTCTGCCCTGCTCCCGGGGGTACCGGGCTGCAGCGGGCACTGCCCCGGCTCTGCCCTGTGCCCCCCGTGCCCCCAGAACCCCCCCAAACTCGGGGGCTGCGCATCCACCCCGCTCCTGGCTCCTGCCGGCAGCACTGCAGGGCAGGACAGAGCCGGCCCCGGGGCACCCGTGCCCCCAGCTGTGCCAAGGAGGTGCCAGGCACGTCCCAGGGGACACACAGGTGACACACCAGGCACATCCCAAGGGACACAGAGCCACAATGGACACATCCCAAGGGATACAAGGGGGCACATCCCAAGGGACACACGGGCACATCCCAGGGGATACATGCCCACATCCCAGGGGACACACGGGCTGTCCCCTCAGCCCTGGCAGCAGTGGCCGGGGGACGGGGAGCAGCAGCGTGCGGGAGCAGCGTGGCCCGGGCGGCCAGCAGGACCCGGGCTGACCCGGGCACAGCAGGAGCCGGGCTGACCCGGGCTGGCCGTGCCCGCAGCGGGACCGTGCCCAGCTGGCCGCGGCCCCGGTGCCCACGCCTCGCCCAGCCCTGCCCTGGCTGCTGGACACTCCCCACGGGAACAGCCGCGGCTCTGCCAGCCCTGGCACCGGCACCTGGCCGGGGTGTCCCTGCTGAGCCCGGTGTCACACGCGGAGGAGCTGCGGGGACCCCCGAGGGGGGAGCAGGGCTGGCACGGGGGTTACAGACCATGTGTCCCACCTGGCACAGGGCACGAACCCAGCACACACCCCGGGGCCGGGACATCCCCATCCGGGGGGACACCCCCTCCTGGGGACACCCCCTCCTGGGGGACACCCTCCTCCTGGGGACACCCCATCCTGGGGGACACCCCCTCCTGGGGACACCCTCTTCTGGCTCCTGGGGGACCCCCCCTCCTGGGGACACCCCATCCTGGGGACACCCCCTCCTGGGGGACACCCCTTCCTGGGGGACACCCCTTCCTGGGGACACCCCCTCCTGGGGGACACCCCATCCTGGGGGACACCCTCCTCCTGGGGGACACCCTCCTCCTGGGGGACACCCTCCTCCTGGGGGACACCCCCTCCTGGGGACACCCCATCCTGGGGACACCCCCTCCTGGGGGACACCCCTTCCTGGGGGACACCCCTTCCTGGGGACACCCCCTCCTGGGGGACACCCCATCCTGGAGACACCCCATCCTGGGGACACCCCATCCGGGGGGACACCCTCCTCCTGGGGACACCCCCCCTCCTGGGGACACCCCCTCCTGGGGACACCCCGCCCTGGCAGCCGCCTTGCAGCCGGGAGGTGACAGCAGGTCTGTGTCCCCAGCGCCAGGAATAGCTCAATCCGCGCTAATCCCGCCCGCGGCTCTGGCCTCTCCCGCACGGGGGGGGGTCCCGCACCCCCTTCTCCGGCCGGAGGGGAGGGAGCCCCGGAGCCCCCCGGCCGCGCTCCCCCGGGGTCCCGCAGCCCCCCGGGCCGTACCTTGTGCGTGTCCAGCGCCTCCCGGCTGGGCGCGGGGCTGCCGGCGTCCAGGGTCCCGCTGGACGGCATGGTGGGGCCGGGCGGCCGCCGCCTGCTCAGCACCGAGCGCAGCCCGCCGCGCCTCGCAGGGCTCCGGGAGCCGTCCCCCGCCGCTGCCTGGATCCTCCTGGCCCTGCGGGGGGAAGAGCACGGGGCTCAGGGGTGCTCCCGCCCCGCCGCCCCCGGCCCGGCCCCAGCGCCGGCAATTATTAACGTGCCACAGCCTTGACTCGGCCGGGCTGGGCTGCGGCCCCGCCGAGACCCCGGCCCGCCCG